GTCAACGACGACGAGCTCTCTCTCCCCCTCTTTTCCGGCCCCACGTGCGGAGAAGAAGATCGCGAAGCGGAAGTCACGTGCCAAGCAGCGGACTCCGACCGCCTACATCGACGTGGATCCGGAGAGCTTCAGGGCTCTGGTTCAGCGGATGACTGGGCCCAAGTTTGGGGATGTTGGGCTTGGGCTGGTGATTAGGCCTGAGCCCAAGAGGAGGGGTTTTGTCCCGACGCTGGAAACGTCCGGGGTTTCCATGGGCCGGGTTGAACCGGCCGGTTTGGATCGCTTTGGCGGTGAACCGGTGTTGGAGGACGGGGATTTGGGGTTTTTTTGATGTTGAGTCGTTTCTGAGTTTTCCGTCGCTGGAATCTTGTGTTATGTAATTTTTAGTACTGTTTTGTTTGGTAATGTAGGGCATGTATTATTTAGTTATTTATGTATATATATATAGTAGTAGGTTTTGGGGGCTAGGGTTGTTTGGTTGGCTAGAAAAATAAGCAAATCAATTATAAGAAACCTATGTCCTATAATAAATTCTTTTTTTTATGCTTGGTTAATTTTTTAAAGAAAAATTCTTTAAGGGCCCAAAATATGGGAACAATAGGGAGGACAAGTGAGGTGTCCCCTCCTATTGGATAATGAGTTGGCCATCATTAATGATGGCCAACTCATTATCCAATAAGAGGGGGACACTTCACTTATCCCCTTTATTGGTCCCATATTTTGGGTCCCTGTAGCAAAGCTCAAAAAAACTCATTTCATGAATTTCTTTTCGAGAAAATAGATAGAAATCAACTTTTAATGGTTTCCCTATCTCATACTTTTCTCTGATTTTAGGAAATCAACCAATCTTTTTTTATTTTATTTTAAAACACACATGTTTTCTCTTGTAGACCCAATGCTATATGTCGCAGTTCTTGTCATTTTAGTAGGTAGACCCTCCTTGAATTCCTCTTTTGCCTTCAACATAGATTCATTAGTTTCACGAGGCAATATCTGGCAAAATTTTATCCAGGACAAAAGAGTTAAAAGTATTTATTTACCTAGGTGCAAAAATGAAAAGGGCCTCAAGAGTTCAAAACATCAATATACTCCACGCATGGGGGTCTACGTGCAATTAATCCTATTTATTTTCTCCAAAAACTTTCTTTTTAAAATAATAACAATAGTAAATTAGAAACATAAGAAGGCATCGGAAAGATACGAGGTCCAAATTTTTAATAGGTCTAATCGCAGATAAACCCCCTCACTGCAGTCTAATTATGGATAGGCCCCCCTTTAGTTGCATCAGAGAGTATAGGCATTAGGCCCCCGTTGCCATTGCCCCAAGCGTGTACAGATCCCTTAAATTTTTCACAGTGAAGAGAGTCAAAAAAGTTCACACACGGAGAAGAGTGAAAAAAGTTCACTCAGGGTTCTATCTGCAACAATAGAGCTACACAGTTCAGCTATAGTTCGCAATTAAACCTACAAGATAGGGCCAGATCCCTAATCGAGAAAACAAACCTCTGGTACCAAGCAAGAAAATTGCCCCGTAGGCAACTGAAAAACTCTTATAGCAACTAGTAACGAATAAGCACTAATCCATTGTTTGTTAACAATAAATTACTCTCACTTTCAAACTATTTCGTACATGGATAAAACACTACCTGAACAGTTCCTTTCAACTCCCCGAGTCCGATGTGGTTATTGCTATCAGATGAGAGATTCGCGTGAAAACACCAAAATTTTTTGGTTGATACCAGGAAATTGGGCGGTGGGATTTACCGCTAGCACCAACTCTTTTTGATCATCCTGCTTAGTTTAAGAAAGATAAATTATCAACTTATCCCAGAAAACCAGGCAAGAAATTATATCTCCTTAAAATGGAAATGTAACCGAATATTATACTAGTTACGCATCATGTACCCACTTGACTGTGGGCAATATCACTAGTTCGTTCTGATACATGTTGACAATTACATACTCAATTTGGAATCAGAAACAAGAACAGAAAAACAGCACAAATACGAGAAATTAAAGAATAGAGTGAATTTTAAATGGTACTTGGCATTACTTTGCACTAGTGCTCGTAAACCCGTGAATGAGATGAATACTCGTAGATCATGTCACAATGAAACAACTTTAATATGAAGCAGTATTAGGAAATGTTACGATCAAATGAGCACAGCTCTGGCAGCTTAACACACTGCTTCAAATGAGAGTTAACATGTCCAAGTCTCCATGTGTAAGAAAACTAATAAGATTTTTCACAAAAAAAGAAAGAAAGAAAAAAGATGATGACTGATTGAGGGCTAAGTCGCACTGCACAATGATGAAATACAATAATCCAAATCTGGAGAACTAAAAGAAACTGATTAGAGGTTCCCACTCTTCATGAGCGTAATGATGTTTTGTTTGAGAGAGATCGCTGCCCTATTTTCCTAACAGCATGTTTGGATGAGGGGTAATGGGAGGGAGGGGAAGGTAAGTTAACAATTAACCCTCTTCGGTAGTTT